TTGAACATCACTTCATTTCAGAGTCATTCTCATTAAAAACAAAATTTGAACATAGAGGCATTCTCACAAAAAACAGAGTCATTCTCATTACAAACAGAATTTGAATAGCAATTTCAACATCACTTTCCAGCCAGCAAGGCATTTGCACACACATAAAGGCCATTACTTCACTTCTCAGCAACATCAGAATTTGTGCAGCAATCCAGCATGAGTTTGCTTCACAATTTGAGATGGTATCACTTCACTTTGCATGCCATTTTCATCTTTAGTTTGCTTGTCTTTGTGCTTGTCCATAGCCTGAAATGGACAAACACAGAATTTAATTGAAAAAATAAACTACAAACAAAAACTACTTCAAATATAATTTTCAACAACTCAAAATCCAGAATTTTAAGCAACTACAAATTCAAAAGACAACAAGGACAAACTTGACTCCACATTGGACTGTTTGATTCTTGAGAATATCGAAACCCAATGTCATATCCATATGAACCTTGAAGTAGTGACTGGAGTTGGTTCAACAGCATACCGTTGAGGCATTGAATTTGGCAAAGAATTATGCACTACAAACATGTCCTGCAAATTGGCAAAGAACAATGTCATATATTAGGCTTCGCAATTATGGGTTGAGTCACATTTTATATCCATTAAAAAAATACATACATTGTACTAACACTTACATGATGTGTGGGATTCATCAATGAGGGAGGAATAGAATTACCACCCACGGGCAAAGGTGGAGGAAAAGGATGAAGGGGAGGAAGAGGTTGAAGAGGAGGAACATGTTGACGAACATAGATATCTCCTCCAACAGATAATGGAGAAGGTGCAACTGTTGGACTTGCAATTGATTGTGACGAAGCCAAGCTGTTAGCACGGGATTTTTTTTTGGAGTTCGCTATCAACGCGGCTTCTTATCCACCTTTCACCCTCCTTTTGCCCTTACTAGTTGCCATCTTTTTCTTCAATCCTTTTGGTTGCACAACATGATTCATATTTTCGCAATCCACTTCAACGCTTTGGGTGTCATGGTCATTACTTACTTCATTTCCAACACCAAAAAGAGCACCTAACTTGCTTTCAACATTTGCACCTAATGTAACAAGGTGTGCAATACAAAAATCATAAGTTTCTTCAGTTTCAGCAGCTCTACTTGCTAGTGCTCGAAATGCGGTCATCAATGTCTTATACCGCGAGGCTTGTTTGAATTTCACATCCACTTCAATGTCATTCCCCTTAATGTCCATCACAGCGTCGGTTCTTGTTTGTTTGGTCCACCTCATCAGAATGTATTGTGGAGGAACCTCTTTCATCTTCAATGTCTCTAATAACCTTCAATGAGTGACAACACAAGATTCCTCCCCTTTCAAACTTTGTACAATTACAACCCAATGACCCATCCCTCTCCATCTTCACTTTCCTTGCATGTTTGTTACCAACATCAACAACTGTGTAAATGGTACAAGCCTCGCCATATTCAATTGCTTCTATGTCCGATTCAATGGATCAAAAGTACTCATTTTGAAATTCCTCAAAAATCCTTTTTGTGTAGACATTACCCATTTGAATTAACATTCTTATGGTGGCTTTCACCTTTGGCAACCTTTGGCACAAAGCATATCCTGCTTCTAACTCCTTGTATCGCTTCTCGTAAAGTACCCTTTTGAAATGCATGAAGAATTCATTCAAGTTAAAATCAGAACGAATGTAATCCTTCAAAAAAGCATTAAAAGATTCACTGAGTTGTGTGGTACTCATTCCCACAGCCCATGTTGATCTAACATAAGGCCAACCCCATTTTTCTTTCACCGCTGGCGTAATCAATTTCGGTTTCCGTGGCCGATAAGGCCCTCAATTAATTTTCCAAAGCAGACTATTCAAACAGATATTCCTACGATGAACAGATAAAATTTCAAACCACATATTTTCACATAGTAGAACACCAAATCATATCAAAATACATAATCACATTACGTTAAGGACCAATTAACATATTACGGAACAGGGGTATTACACGCCCACTCTAACTTCCATTGATTTGTATCTTCAATGTCAAAGAAGAATTTATTTAGTACACCCTTCACCCCTTTATCTTAGAATAAACAGTTAACATGTTTTAATGCATTTTGCATCAAATGTCAAGTACACAATCGGTGAGTTGTGTCAGGCATAACAATGAGTATGGCTTTAGCCATTGCAGCATCTTGATCAGTGAACAAAGTTTTTGGTGCCTTTCCTGACATAGCCCCTAGAAAATTTTGAAACAACCATACAAACGATTCGGCGGTCTCATCATACAACAATGCTGCACCAAATATAACTGTTTCCCTGCGATGGTTGAATCCCACAAAAGACACGAAGGGTCTATGTTCTTTGTTTAACTTGTAAGTAGTATCAAAAGTGACAACATCACCAAATTAGGCATAATCCATGATCATTTGGGCATCGGCCCAAAACATATTCGTTATTTGCTCTTCATTATCTAACTGGAAAGCATAAAAGAAGGAAGGATTCTGCAAAGATTTTTCTTTAAAGTATTGCAACACATTGCCTACTTCCCCATATGCTAAACTTTGTTGTCTTTTGGTTCTCAAATAATTTTTAGAATCTAATTTTGTAAACCCAAGACATTGCCTCCCACCAGCTTCCCTACCTATGAGTTCGAAAGACTGGCCTAAACGAAGACCAGATTGTGCTGCCAAATCTAGCTGAATTGCTTGGGTAGTCGATATCTTTCTTTGTGACGGCAACATGTAGGCACACTTGGGTGATACAAGATCATGGTTGTGTTTTTCTTTGAAATCAGTCACAACATATTTCCCAGTACCGTCATCTAATTTGACATAAAGTTGAGCCTCACAACCGGTCCTAGTTTCGGCTCTAGGGTTTTTTGACAATGGGTCTCATTTGTCACCCTTCCGAAATCCCTCCTTGTTGCAAACCAAAAGTCTACAAATAACTTGCTTAGTGACCTTGTTCTTCCTACAAAAATCCCTTCTTATGCTAAACCCCATTCTTCCTCCATATATATTATAAAAATCATACACACATTGTTCAGAATCGAATGTCATTCCCTGTTTTGGCTTCCAAGCACAATCATTCTCAGGTTCCATATCCATATGAAAATGCAACTGAAAACCCATATAAATAAAATCTTAGCTACATAAATAAAAAATTCATCACATTCCAGTAAAACCTTATCTGTTCACATGATTGATTAAATAAATTATGTTACAAAAATAATTTGGCAAACCTCTGATTAGATAGTAAAACTGATTAAATAGAGTGAAACTGATTACATAGAGTGAAACTGATTAAATAGAGTAATCTTCAAAATCTGTGTTAGACCAATGAAATCAATTCAATATATTTACTTTATAGAGTGCAGATAGAGTATAGATCAATTATATTTCAAAATCTGTGTTAGAAATAAAATAGAGTGCAGATAGAGTGCAGACGTTGAATTAATTTTGGACATATTTAAAAACCCTATTGATTAAATAAAATTTTGATTAAATACTTACTTTATAGACTGCAGATCAATTTAAAATTTTGATTAAATACTTACTCTATAAATACTTACTTTATAGAGTGCAGATCAATTTTGATTACATACATAATTAAAAACCCTATTGATTAAATAAAATTTTGATTAAATACTCTATTTCATTAACACAGATGTTGAATTAAAAGTAAAATCTGTGATTTCAAAATCTGTGGTTTAACACAAAATAAATTAACACATCGGTCCATTAAAAGTAATCTTCAAATATTGAAACTGATTAAATAGATTTTGAAACTGATTAAAATCTTAAAATACAGAAACTAATTAAAAGCTTCAAATACACATAAGATTAAAATCTTCAAATACAGATAAAATCTGTGTTTATAAGGTTCTTCTTGATCAATATTCAATCTGTATATATATATATCTTCAAATACAGAAACTGATTGCAAGCTTCAAATACAGATAAGATTAAAATCTTGAAATATAGATAAAATCTTCAAATACAGATAAGATTAAGCTTCATAAGGAAAAAACGCGGGAGTCTGGAGAGAGTAGTACAGTATTAAGCTTCATATACATTCATTTCTGATTTACAGAGACAAAGGGGAACCGACCTGTGGCGTCGTCGGTCCTTGCAACGGCGTGGAGACTGGGTAGACTGGGTTGCCGCCGGTATTGGGTCGCCGTTCGGACAAGAACCACTGAGTGTGTTGAATGAGTGTGTGTTGAATGAGTGTGTGTTTCCCCACGAAGAGTGCAGACCAACTCTATGTTTTGTTTTGTGCGGGAAAGAATAGAAATTCTAATTTTTTTTTTTAATCTCAGCCGTTGGATGTGCAACGACTGATCTCAGTCGTTGCAAGGACGCACGCTCGTAAACTCTTGCAAGGAGAGGATCTGCACTCCTCTTTCCCACCAAGTAAACCGTCGTGTGGTCAGCATACTGTTGTCTGGTGTCACTTTAGACCTCGATTTCCATGCTTGAAAAGACCGATTTTTCTACGGTACATTCTAGATGGGAATCAAGATTTTCTTCTTCATTTCTTTTTTTTTTTTAACTCTTTTTCAGGTTATTTGTCCTATTTTTTAGTCTAATTTTGATGATTTAAATTATTAACATTTTAAGATTTGTTAAATATATTATATTTATAAAAAATTAAGTTGACCGGATATTAGAAACTACGTGTTCAGATTATCGAATTACAAACTATTTTTTAAAAATATTTAATAAATAATTTTTCGAATACATATTTTTTAATATTCAATTAATTTGATTTTTTTATAAATATGATATACTCGATAAATATTAAAATATAAATAATTCAAATCATTAAAATTAGATACAAAAGTAGACTCAATAACTCAACTACAAAGGAGATAAGTGGAGAAATAAAGGAGAGGATGTTAATTAGCTAGATGGACCGTAAAATTGTGCCAGGTCATTTTATCATTTTTATGATTATTAATTGAGTGGAGTGGCCATCAATAATAGACTGGAGTGGTCATTATCTCTATCCAATGAAAGACACTGGAAATTGCAATTTTCTGATGCACAAACAAATTGGATAAGCCTTTCATTTCAACTACAACCATGTCGATACTTCTACTCCTCCTCTTCACCTTCCTCAGCCCTAGTTTCACCTCTGTCGACTCCTTGAATTTCTCATTCCCTTCCTTCGACTCCGGAAGCTGCACCAAAGGCGGCAACTTGATTTGCAGTGGCTCCGCCACTGCAAGCAACGGGACTTTGAACGTGACGTCGGATCACCAACAACAACAGCCGAGAGATACACCGCCGATAAACCAGATCGGACGGGTGTTGTATAAATATCCGGTGATCGGATGGCCGGCGTCTATACGCACCACTTTCAGTATTAGGATACTGACTGACCCCAACTCTAAAGGATCTGGTGATGGAATGGCGTTTGTTCTGGCTCCGGATGCTCAACCCTCTCCTGCCAACAGCTTTGGCTCTTTTCTTGGTATCTTTGATCAGTCTACTCAAGGTCTATGTTCTCTTCCCTATCTTTTTTTTTTTTTTTTTTTCTTTTCTTTTTCTTTTAGGAAAAGTTTAGCAATATTCTAGAAATTTTGTGAAGAAAATTATCAGGCGGTGTGTGATTGAGATTTAATTAATATGTTGTGTGATTTATGTATAAAATGAATCTGTCTGATAGAGTGATGCTCTTAGATAATATCCTAAATAAAAATTGAGTATATATTATTTTAAGGGACTTTTGCAACTATTGTTTCTTTCATTCTTTTCTTTTACTTTCCTCTCTTTCTTACTAGCGGTAACTCGTGCTATGCACGGGCAGGTAACAAAAAATAGTAAATAATGTTGAACATGTTAAAAATTAACAATTAAATACTATGATATTTGTTTGGATGGGTATTGAAATAATATATTTAGTGATCTTACTATATTTAATTAGCTTAGAAATTTTATTCGAATTTTACTAAACATCCATCTATGATTTTTTTTAGTTTGTTGCAGGGGTTTTTGCTTTGTTGATTTGCTACTTTGCCGTTTGTTTTTTAGTTGGTTTCTTACTAATTTTTGATAGTGTGGTAGCAAATGATTGAGCATGCATCTCAATACCAACATTGTTGGGATTGATTTATTTCGTTACGATACTCTTTGCACTCATCGTTTTTTTTTATTTATGTAATATTTTTTATTTTCATCAAAAGGTTCTTTTTTTACTGATTAAAAAAAAAAATCCATTTATAGTTCAAATTGATTTATATGATTAAATTTCTACCCTACAATCAATTATCCAAAAAACTATCGATTGCGCTATAACATTTCTGAATAACAAAAGCAACTAAGATGTGGAACCTTAAACTATGACCCATTTTTTCAAATTTTTCTTACAAAAATTTCATTTTAATCAAATGCTTACAATAATATATATATTTGTCTACTTCACTCTCTTTTAATTTCACTTTTCACAATTTTTTGAAGTTTAAAACCCACAAAAAAAACAAAAACAAAACAAAAAAAAAAACAAAGAAACAGAGTCTAAAAGACTGATCTTAGAGTAATTGATGTGTACTATTATTATTACAGATGCAGTTCATCAACTTGCAATAGAGTTCGACACGTACAAGAATGAATTCGACCCGGATGATAACCACATCGCAATTGACACCGTAAGCGTACAAAACCCGGATGCGGTGAAGAGCCTCAACAGCACCGGAATATATCTCAAGACGGGTAGAGAAATAACGGTTCGCATCGAATATGATGGGTGGACCAAGAATCTTCAGATTTATGTCGGGTATAATGGGGATCCACTAGTCAGCTTTCTCAATCATACAATGAAGTTGCGGCATACAATTCCTAGCTCTGTTTACGTGGGCTTCACAGCCGCCACAGGTACCCAATTATTTATACTAAATCCATATTTTTTTTTTTCATTTCTCAAATTCTAATTATTTCATGAAATAGTGTTGCGGAAAATATGATTTTAGATTTCAAAAATTACCACAAGAAATCAACTTTTTAGAGATAAATTTATTCTGTCCCTAAAAGTGGAATATTTGTTAGGACAAAAAACTTTGGCCAACAAATTTCCTTCGTCACGAAGTTAGTCCGAAATGGTCTGTCTGGAAAAGCTAAAAATTAACTGTTCGAGACATAATTTTACATTTGTCACTATAAATAAATTTTTTGAGACAAAAGTATATGATCGCAAAAAGTTTTAGTTTTGAGACAATCAAAATTTGTCTCTAAAAGTGTATTACAACCCAGGCAAAAAAAAAAAAGTAGTTATGGAGACAAAAATTTAGTATTTGAGACAACACAAATTGGTCCGAATATTTAGTATTTGAGACAACACAAATTGGTCCATTAAAGTTTTAGTTTTTCAGACAATTAAATGTGGTGTGTAAAAGTTTTAGTTTTCCAGACAACTAAAAGTGGTCTATAAAAGTTATAGGCTGTGTTTGGTACAGCTCTGGAACGTTAGCTCCATAACTTATTCCGTACATGACGTTTGTTTACAATTTTCAAAACTTAATTTCACGTTCAATTTTGAAAACTCGGTTGAAGACGGGAAAATTTGGACTAACCGAACGTCCCATCGGTCAACCGGCCGGTTGACCGGAACAGTGCAAATTTTTTTTTTTTTTCAATTCACACCTGTTAATTTTTATATATTCGAAAAAAATATTTTCTGAATTTTTTAAAAAAATTTATGAGCTTTAATAGAATTTTGAGTTGTGTGTTTGATTATAAGTTGTAAATTTTTGTATCAAATATCATATGTCACATCAAAAATTCTCCACTCAATTCAAAACTCTTTCACCAAACAAATTTTCCACACTCAAATAATAATTCCAAAACTCACAAACTCAAAATACAACTCATACTCTCAAATTATATTTAGAAAGCTCTACCAAACACAACCATAATTTTTTTGAGTTAATTAAAATTGGTCTCTAAAAGTTTGATAATATTTTGATTAACAATTACTCTAAAAATACTAGTTTGAACAGAAACTCATATTCCTTACTTGATTGCTCAACAATCAAACAAAAAATATCAAACATATCACCAGGCCATCTGTGCATCTCGAAATTAAAATTCAACACCACCAAAAAAAAATATTAAATTTTTTTTTTTTTAAAAAAAAACATGCTTGTCACATTAAAAAATGCTTAATCAAAAGATATGAATAACAACCAAATATCATGCTCTGATCCATAAGTACATAATATCTCTGGATTGCATATCATAAACTAATAGAAATTTTAAAAGTATCATTTTCAAAAGATGATAAACTGATAGAGATTCTTCTCAAGGGTTTTGTTGAAATAACATTCAAAATCTCGTAAAAAGCTTTCAAACCTTCAAATTTACGCAAGCTTGCAGGACCTGCATAGAATTGAGATCTTTGACCAAGCTTGCAAGACATGCTAATAAGAAACAATGAAGATATAATTACTTTCCTTTCTAATTACTTACCCAAAATGATGATTAAAAAGCAAAAGCAAAAACCAGCTTATACCCAAAAACTAGCTTCTATCATTATATAGCAAAAGCAAGGTGCTCTGCTAATATGGGAATATCCCTAAAAAGTTGGATGATTGATGTTTAAGTTGATCCAAACAATTTAAAAAAAAAAATGATCAGTAAATGAGGCAGCCTATAATTTACAGCCAATTACATTTAAGACAAATTGAGAGCAAGCTCACCTTTACTTTTTTTTTTTGATCGGCAAAGAAAAATTTCAATAAAAACATGAAATTTACAGGTTCAAGGAAATAAAACGCACTGAGAGAGATTCGAAGAGTAAAAATTCACTCTCCTACTACTGCTACTCGCGTTCTTACAACCAACCCCTAGCCTCACGATTTTAAATTTGAAAAAACAACAAACAAAATAAATTAAAAAACCACAATCATGAGCCCCCACCTAAAACACAGCTACACACCCCAAACCACACTCTGACTCAAGCACTATTACACACTTGAGCCCCACGCCTGACCCACCCACCCTGCACCAATGACAGACACTCAACCTCCAAACTGTCGGACCCTCAGGCTCCAATGCCGCCGAGCACCCTGCACCACCCGTGACCGAAACTACTCTTGCTTCACCATCGAGAACCACCCGGGACCGAAACAACTCTGCTTCACCGCTGAACAACGACAGCCTCTACTTGCTTCACTCTCCTCTACTTCAGTTGCTGCAGCCTCCTCCTTTGGATCTCCTCCGTGACCCAAACAAACTCCTTCGATTGAAACCTCACCAAACAACGCTGGGCAGTCCCCTCTTTGTTTAACCAGCGCCAATCTCCTCAAAACCGAACACGGACACCGACCACCATAGAAAAGAACGGAAATCACCCCTCAAACTCCCACTCGCACAGGAGCGCTCGAATGGAGATCCTAAACAGCTCTAAATCCTCCACCCCTCAAACTCCTGCTCGCAAAGAAGTGCCCGAATGAAGTTCCTGAACCAACCCACCTCTGTTCAACGCTCCCAACCTAAACCAAGACCCACTGCTGAAGCTGAAACACCATGGCTGAAGCACCACTACCACCGATCCTTTCCAAACGAGAGAAAAACCCACCAAAATCACCCATCAAAGCTATCTTGGGCACCAAAGGAGGAGGCTACACAAAAACGAAATAACCAAAACAACAACCTAAGCAAATCTAGAGATTAGATCTGAAAAGGATAAAGAGAAAACTAAAGGGGCTCAAGTTTATTAGGAGAAAACCCAAGAACACAAGAAGAAAAAAGATAGGCTAGCCGACCGCCATGACCAAAGGCGGCGGCCGGCCGGCCAGCGGTGAGGCCCCGAGGTGGAGGTTTTTAGAAAGAGTTTTTTGAGAGAGTTTTTTAGAGAGAGAATGAAGTTATTAATACACATGCATCTTAAGCTCACCTTTACTTTATGTTCACGACAAGTCATTCTCCACAAACATATACATTTGCAAGAGGAATAAACTCCCACTGACGTCAATATCCAACAAAAGTAACTTTCCCAACCCAAAAGATCCATTTCCTTCAACCATAAAATTGCCGTGCAGCTCAAGAAAATTCTCGACACAGACCAATTCAATATACGCGTGTATATGGAAGCAAAAGATGTAAAATTTCATGCATTTTCTAGCAAACAGTAGAGATCACATCATAGGGGGAAAAAAAAAAAGTCCCACTCATGCAGCATCTGAGCAGATGATGAAGACATTAACTGAGAACAGAGATATATATATATATATATATATAAAGAGAGAGAGAGAGAGAGAGAGAGAGAGAATGCTAATGCAATGTGTATGTTTTGTCAATTGCAAGCTGAATGTGTAAATTACTTAATGCTGCTGTATAGAAACCCACAAAAAAAATCAAATATAGATCACAAAAGATAACTTACTAAGAAGAAAAATCAATAGAGGACCCTCTTTAACTGATCTACGGCATCAAGAAGTCGATTTTGGCATTAATTATAGTCGAGTTAGGCAAGAGTACGTTTTCAGATAATGCTGTACATGGTTTTCGACCACGCCCTAAGCCTCGTATGTAGCCAACTTTTTGTCTAAATACCTCAATAGAAAGTTGCTCATCGGATAGCGGACCAGATCCATCTTCAATAGTTTTGTTCAATCGCTTTTCAAGCTTGTACTACGATATTCATTAGTTGAGATAAAACTAAGTATCCATCAACATTTTATTAAGGATATAAGAAACTAAAGTACATAAAGATTGATGTCTTACATGTCTAAATCTCAACATCAACATGCACTCATGCCTCTTTTTTGTCACTAAAATGTGTCTTTTTGTACAACTCAACAAATCCAAGTTCCTAAAGAATATATGCAAGTGCCAAATATTTACCTGACATAAGGAATACATCATGTTTAATATACAGTAAGACAATGTTAAAAATACACTGATTTTCTAAACAGAATGACAGAAAATGAGCACAAAATTACAAAGTTACCTTATAGTCCTTCTCATACCACTTTTGGCACAATAACCTCCACACTCTTTTTCCATTGGTGAGGGAAAACTTTTAAAAGAGTTTTGTCGTAGGTCATCAATAGTTCTTATATCGGTCGTGCATCAATTTGAGGATAGATTCGATAGTATAGGGTTCATTGGTAAACTTACCTTCCTGTCATACCAAACAATAAAAAAATTACACTGTCATCATCTTCATTCCAAGAAACCAAGTCCAGAATATCATCATTTAGATATGGGTTCGAAGAACTTCCAGCATAATGTACCTCTTATCCACCCCTGGTTTCATATGATCACAAGCAAATATGATAAATTCCCTCCCTCACCCCCATCAATGTACTGAGGTGACCTTCTATTATGAAGTTGCATCCAACTCCTATCCATAGTGCAAAAGAACTAAAGGAAAAACAAACAGAAAGTAACAAAAGTGTTGAACTAGGAGGGGATAAAGAACATAACATGCTTAAAAGCTTAAAAATTAGGATATACTAAAATAGGAAATATGATGCTACAATTAGATGTCAATCAATAATAAATAATTAAAATAAATAAGTCATTAACATTTAAACATAACACAAAGTAAAATATTATTTAATGTAAGCCAATTTAAATTAAATCTAACTCAAGCTTAAATATAACCAATACAAATTAAATCCAGCTCAAGTCTTGTGCTTGGCCAAAGCAATTCAATCCTTTTTCATCATAACCTCGTTGATTTTGTGTTATCATGCCTCTGCCCCTGTAAATTCTTATGGTCTATAGGGGCCCTTATTAAAATCTCCATAAAAATAATATCGACAAATTAATTTTTGTTTCTTAGGCTCTTTTTTTTTTAATTTACAAATGGGTCCTTATATTTTGATTTAAACTGTAATAATATACATTAATTCTTTATTTAAATTTAGTTATAAAAAAATAAAAAAAAAAATCTCTAGATTTATATTTCATTAATATTTTTTTTTCAAACTTATTACAAATTTTAACAACATATGCAAATTTGCTAATTTGGATTCCAATCTCCATCTCAATACCAGTAACTCTCTCTCTCTCTCTCTCTCTAAAAATCCTCTTGTTACCAATCAGTCCCTTACAAAAAATAAAAACATCTAGAATTTCATTTTCAGCTCTCTAAGATGCAAGTAGGTGAGCTCTCAGATATTTTGTTAGATAAACTACCCTACCATCCCACGACGGTTCATATTAAAACAGTTTGCAGAGGTGACATTGAAATAATTGAAGAAGGCTGAACACAATCTATTTGTCCATCTATTAAACAAAAAAGTAAGGCTGAACACATATTTCTTTTCTTGTTGGATATGAGATTGAAATAAGGCTGACTTAACGATTTTAAATTTAAAAATACCAATAATTAGCTACTTGACGATATAAGATCTTCTGGAATTTGAATTGCCTCATTTTTATTTTTATTTTTATTTTCATAGAACTTGAATTGAAGGTCATAACCTATGCTATGTTGTCACCTTGACACTAGTAAGAGTTCACCCAAATAATTTTGTGTTAAATAGCCATCCAATAACTCATAAATTACAAATATTGCAGAGAGATAGAAAGAGTTGAAAATACTTGAATTCTCAGTAATGGAGAGAGAAAATTGCTTAACAATAGACAGAAAAATAGTTGCAGAAATTCAAATTCACAGAGCTCTAGTGACCGAATTTCATATAGTGACAGAGACCAACTCAATTGCACAATTACCAAATCCAAATTACCAAAATTACAGAGCAAAAACTCCAATACAAAACCACAACATCATTGATTTCGTACATATTTTAGCTCAAATGAGTAATCGACTATCATATCTACAATTACCGAATCTAACACTCACAAATACGCATTAAAAACAAATCATATTATGATAATATATAATCAGCACAAACATTACACCAATAAATAAGAATTTTCAAAGAACAAATGCGAACAACAGATCGAAAACCATATCTATGAGACTGAAATCGATTAATTGATCACTCCTGGATACTAAAATTGCTGTCGGGAGAAATGCTGTGAGACACCTCGGAGATGAAATTATCATCAAAATCAAATTAGGGATTGAATCTCAGAAGCAATCAACAAACCACCAATTCATGAGATAGAAAGAAGTGCAGTGCATTCGAGAGAGAGAGAGAGAGAGGACATTCTTTTCGAGTGTCCCGATTGTTGAGCTTAAAGAATGAATATATAAAATAAAATAATGTATGATTTTGGTTTATTGGAAACCGATTAAAATTGTAGAGAAAAGTGAATGACGTTTTTGCAATCAAATAGACTTGTTTCAAAAAGGTAATAACATGATTAAATGTTTCTCTTTTTTAAATTTCTTCATTTTGTTCTTAAAAACATGATTTTTGCAAACTAGTTATTTTTGTTCCTAAAAATTCGTCTTTAAAACTCAAATTTATTGTAGTGAATGTGGTACAATTAGCAAATCAATATAATTTTTTTTTTTTAAAAGAACAATAGATCTATAGATACCTATTAGACAAACAGGCCGAATAATTAATGTGGTCCGTAAAGGGCAATCAATTGGAGGAAACTGTACTCTTTTGAAAACGTGACTTTCAATATACTATGCTTGCTCCTAAATAACAAAGAAATTAAAGTTACTTATAATTTTGATAAAATTACATTCATTGTTTTGCAATAACAACAATTTTAACGGTATTAGTGGCAGTGGTGAAATTACTACTATACATTGTCATTAAATATTATATATTGTCTTTAAATGTTATAGGGAGAATATTTTGAAAATAAAATTCAAATTAATGATAAATTTTAATTAAGGATATAAATTTTTGCATGTATTAGTAATTATGAATTTGAATTGCCTCATTTTTATTTTTATTTTCATAGAACTTGAATTGAAGGTCATAACCTATGCTATGTTGTCACCTTGACACTAGTAAAAGTTCACCCAAATAATTTTGTGTTAAATAGCCATCCAATAACTCATAAATTACAAATATTGCAGAGACATAGAAAGAGTTGAAAATACTTGAATTCTCAGTAATGGAGAGAGAAAATTGCTTAACAGTAGACAGAAAAACAGTTGCAGAAATTCAAATTCATAGAGCTCTAGTGACCGAATTTCATATGGTGACAGAGACCAACTCAATTGCACAATTACCAAATCCAAATTACCAAAATTACAGAGCAAAAACTCCAATACAAAACCACAACATCATTGATTTCGTACATATTTTAGCTCAAATGAGTAATCGACTATCATATCTACAATTACCGAATCTAACACTCACAAATACGCATTAAAAACAAATCATATTATGATAATATATAATCAGCACAAACATTACACCAATAAATAAGAATTTTCGAAGAACAAATGCGAACAACAGATCGAAAACCATATCTATGAGACTGAAATCGATTAATCGATCACTCCTGGATACTAAAATTGCTGTCGGGAGAAATGCTATGAGACACCTCGGAGATGAAATTATCATCAAGATCAAATTAGGGATTGAATCTCAGAAGCAATCAACAATCCACCAATTCATGAGATATGCAGTGCATTCGTGAGAGAGAGAGAGAGAGAGAGAGAGGACATTCTTTTCGAGTGTCCCGATTGTTGAGCTTAAAGAATGAATATATAAAATAAAATAATGTATGATTTTGGTTTATTGGAAACCGATTAAAATTGTAGAGAAAAGTGAATGACGTTTTTGCAACCAAATAGACTTGTTTCAAAAAGGTAATAACATGATTAAATGTTTCTTTTTTTTAAATTTCCTCATTTTGTTCTTAAAAACATGATTTTTGCAAACTAATTATTTTTGTTCCTAAAAATTCGTCTTTAAAACTCAAATTTATTGTAGTGAATGTGGTACAATTAGCAAATCAATATAATTTTTTTTTTAAAAGAACAATATATCTATAGATACCTATTAGACAAACAGGCCGAATAATTAATGTGGTCCGTAAAGGGCAATCAATTGGAGGAAACTGTACTCTTTTGAAAACGTGACTTTCAATATACTATGCTTGCTCCTAAATAACAAAGAAATTAAAGTTACTTATAATTTTGATAAAATTACATTCATTGTTTTGCAATAACAACAATTTTAACGGTATTAGTGGCAGTGGTGAATTACTACTATACATTGTCATTAAATATTATATATTGTCTTTAAATGTTATAGGGAGAATATTTTGAAAATAAAATTCAAATTAATGATAAATTTTAATTAAGGATATAAATTTTTGCATGTATTAGTAATTATCTTTTTTAAGTACAACTTATTTTATTCTGATGTCAAATTAAACAATTACTCTCTTTTATCTAATGAATTTACCTAATTATTCTTATTTTTCCAATAATATATACATTATTCAAATATAAAAATATGAGCGTTTAGGTGCAAATCATTATTTGAACATAAACATAATAAAGCATAAAATCAATTTTTTAGTCTAATACACAACATGATTATTTCTTATTCGTCTAACCAACAAATGACTAACAGTATTGGCCAAAGTGTTAAGCCAAAACTGTAATGCTAACTGTAATTTCTTTATTACAGGAGAAAGATTAGTCTAATTCCGATTTAGCACCAAATTTCGAATTCAATTTGATGTCATATTTTGACAATAAAAATTGACCCAGCCCACTTCGGTCTCTACACAGGTACTCTATCAGAAACACGTCAAGTTCTAGCTTGGAACTTCACATCCATTGAATTGCCAAACAAATCTCTGGGGCCAGGAAACAACCTGGGTGTGAAAGTGGCTGTTCCAGTGATTTCTGGGCTGTTGTTTCTTGCAATATTGGCTTTACCGTTTGTGCTTAGAGCTCTTAGAATACGAAAAGAGAGGCTTGCAAGGAAAGTAGACATTGAAATGATGATAGCAGCAGCAAATGGACCACGACTCTTCTCTTACAAGAAACTTTCAAAGGCAACTCGCAACTTCAGCAAAGACAACCTGCTGGGAATTGGCGGTTTTGGCAGTGTTTACAAAGGGGTTATGTCGAAACCTCCCACCACTATTGCTGTCAAAAAAATCAATGCCGCATCCAAACAAGGTTTGCTTGCTTTTCATTTCCCGATTATTAATACTGGCAGCACTGCATTCATTCTAATTGCACTCATACTCCACTAGGATTAATGCAGTGCTACCACTACCAGGTATTGCTTTGCTAGCACTTCTCCGGAAAATATACCCATTTTTTCTGAGAGTACTTACGTATAGGTCCTAATAAGTAGGCTTATTTTTTAATAGGTTCTATAAAAAAAAAAAATTTGTCATAAAAAAAGTCACTAATTGTAAGTTTTAGCGACAATTTATAAAATTCATGATAAAAAAAAAATCATTAATTGTTAATTTTTAATGACGTATGTAAAACATTGTCACAAAAAAATTATTTTAGCTACAAATTTACTAAGACTTATTTTCAATAGGACTTAATGGGAATTAAATCCAACCATTAGGACCTATTGATAGTTTACCTTTATTTTTTTTTCTCTGACCTGATGAAAGTTTATATATTCCATAACCTAAGCCCTTTTTTTTTTTTTTTTTTTTTTTAGGACTTGGATTGTTGTTGTTAAGATTTTATTTATAATTAATTTTTATTTTATTGATATTAATTTGAAATAAAATTATGTATAGCATTGCTCTTTCGAAAATTGTCATCATGTGTTCACGTATCAAAACCATTTTTCTGTCTAATCTAGGTGAGAAGGAATACTTGGCAGAAATCTGCACTATTAGCCGCCTAAGCCACAAAAACTTACTACAACTCCAAGGTTGGTGCCATGACCATGACCAACTCCTACTAGTTTACGAATATATGCCTAATGGCAGCCTTGACCGCTTCATCGGCAAGGACGACACCTTCCTTGATTGGGCAACCAGGTACAAGGTATTACTGGGATTAGCATCAGCATTAGTTTATCTACATGAAGAGTGTGGCAACCCTGTTGTACATAGAGATGTGAAGCCCAACAATGTCATGTTGGATTCAGAGTACAATGCACATCTAGGCGACTTTGGCCTTGCCAGGCTACTTCAAAACGAAGCCTCGGTCACAACCAGAATAGCAGGGACACCAGGGTATTTGTCACCAGAGGTTAGCTTAACGGGTAGGGTTACCCCAGAGTCTGATGTTTACAGCTTTGGAATGGTGGTTTTGGAAGTGGTTTGTGGGAAGAGATCAAAAGGCATCATGGATGCAAATAGTTTAGTAGATAGCGTATGGACGTTATACGAAAAGGGTGTTGATGCATTGCTCGATTGTGTGGATAGATTGCTTGAAGGGAAATTTGATGAGGAGGAAGTGAAGAGGAGTTTGGTTGTAGGGCTTGCTTGTTTGCATCCAGATTTAATGCTCCGGCCTCGGATGAGAAAGGTGATTCAGGTTTTCCTGAACCCTAATGAGCCTCTCCCAAATTTGCCCGAATCGCGGCCTAATTTGGTATGCTTGTCATTTAGCTCTTTTTCAATAACTTCAACTACAACTGATTTAGGTAATAGCAAAGTCGATGGTGGAGGTTCTATGGAGACTTTGCCAGATGAGACCACAGTCCCAGATGAGACCACAGTTCAAAATGTAGGAGCATGTTAGACTAAATTTTAAAGCATGTATAAAATGTATAAAATGCATAGGAGGTTCTTGGGAAATTGATGTATAAAATGTAGGCCTTTATGCAGTAGATTGTATGGTAGAGTGCAGCTACACGGGGAGATGAAAGTTTAATTTCCATTATCTCAAGTTTTTGCATTGTTTTTGAGTAATTGTAAAGCATGACAATTGGTTTATTATATTTTAAGAGTATTGTTATTTAAGACAAAAAAAATTAGACTAAATTTTCAAATCGAGTAATGTGGTAATTAATTAGGATATTGAAGACAATATTCTCTCTCATATGTTTTCTAATAATTAACCAATTATATTACTTAAAAATCATTGGGTCTAGAAAGTAGACTTGTATATCATTTTTTTATATTTTAATGATGCATAATAGGTTTAAGCAAGAATTTACCTATAACAGAGATGGTGAGATATCCTTTTATTTTATATTTTTTTTATTATTCTCAACAAGAAAGACACGTGATTCAGGATTTAAAAATAAAAATAAAAATAAAAATAAAAATAAAAATTTAATTTACTAAGACTATCTCTAGTAGTTTATTAAATCTATCATTTAAATTTAATGAAAAAAATTATTTTTTGCTCTTTTAACGGTTTATCAAATTCATCATCAAATCTAGGATTTCACTTTTCTTTTATTAAATTGAGGACCAATGTACCTTTCATCAAATTATTGTTTATCACCGTTAGATTTTCATCATCGTATATTCCCTCAGATGACCACCTCAAGACAAAAATTTATAAAAAAATTACACTGGCCGGTCGACTGGTCTACCGATGATTTGATAAAGTTACAAAACTCTCAGTTGAAACACTTGATATCAAAGAAAATTATTACTCAAATTTAATAAAAAAATTAATGCACTATTAAAGATGCCTTAATATCTCTTATTGTGCTTATCCATTTACCAATGAGTAAGGATCCTCTAGAGTGATTTTTTCCTAAAGTTTCCTAAAGTGCTACAGTGTATGGTTGAGATTTATTGGCAAGTCACATCAATTTTTCTGATGTGACTTGCCAGTAAATCTCAACCACACAATATAGCATTCTAGGAAACTTTAGGAAAATTTCACTCTAGAGGATCCTTGGTGCTCTCTCTCAAGGGAAGAGGTTCCGATGGGGGGTTTAGATACATCGATAATTTTTTATTATTTTTTTGTTACTTTAATTTCTATGTTTATAAATAAATAAAAAAAGGTGCCTATTTTTTGGAGAGAGTCGTAATCGTTTTCTAATTATAGTGAAATTTGCAATTTCTTTGACTCATTTTATTTTTTTATTTTTTGGTTTACTATTTTGTGTTTTATCAATCCTTATTAGGAAAACCGATTTCCTAACATTGTCATATATATATATATATATATACTAGTATTATACATGTGCTATGCACAGTATCACGTAAATAATTAAAAAATAATATTAATATGAAATATTTTTTTAAAATATTTTAATATGTAGACAAAAAAGAGATTTAAAATCAAATGATTTTTAATTATTTTTATAATAATTACAATTATTATTATTTTAGTCTTGCCATCAATGGTGTGCTCTACATATTAAAAACAAAATGTGTTATAACGTAATTAGTAAAAAATAAAGGCAAAAAAAAGAATAAATTATAAAAATTATACTTACAGTAAAACATAAATAAACTATGACATTGAAATTTTGTAATTGTAGTTTATCTTATGTTAGAGTTCATCCGATAATATAACAAATCAAATGTGTTGCTAATTTTTACCCTTTATCTTCTTTATGAAGCTCAATAAAAATGGTTGACATTAAGATTAATTTACATAATGAAATAACAAAGAGAACAAAAGGAGTCCTTTTCTCGGTTATTCCAAATCTCCCTTCAAATATATAAATTATAGTTAAGTCAACCATTAAAAATCAAAATTAAAGTTCAAACTTAAAGCTTGGCCCATCTAGTACTTAGCCTACCTCAAAACTATTATTTTGGTCTGACTCCACCATTAAGCTTTTGTTTGGAATGAATTAATTTAGCCTGACTGTAGACGTCCCCGAAAGCTCCGGGAGGGTGAGTCTCGTTCTGTTCATTTGGGGTCACTACAGCTCGGACTCTCAATTTTGTGTCACGGTTCTGAGTCTTGAACAAAAGAGTCCAAATCCGGCAAATCGTTTTGAGAAACAGATTTTTTGAAAAGAAGTGCCAAACATGGATTGCTTTGCCAGATACAGAGTCGCCACCTAAATATTTTTTAATGGGGAAATTTAGGAAACCCTGACTCGGTGCCGAAGGCCACATGTCCGTCATCACCGGAGTTGTCTCGGCTCGGGAGCTAGGGTACGATTGGGGAAGGTCAGCTATGAGCACCCCCTCTCGCCAGATCCGAAGATCGACCTCTACTAACCGTGATATCCGTTTTTGAAAATATTATGTGTTCTTAATCCAATTATTAGCCTAGAATTACTACGTTATGCGCGCAGCAAACAAGTATAGACTAGATTGCCTAATTTGGAAATAAGCATTGCATATCCGTTTGTTTTGAAAAGCGCTTTGGAATTTGCTACTCTCAAGTAGGCTAAAACACGGATTTCAACGAGTTTTTCCAACTCAAACAATCCAACCTTCACCCACAGGCATTCAAACAATTTATCACACATAAGCATCTAGCCACATGGTAAGCATGCTGTCATGATAGCATTCACACGCATGCGATATGCTAAAACATAAATACTTACATCGTACTCCGTGCCAAAACAATAAACTAGTTAGCAAACATGCATGTCCTAGTTCATGTTAAAAAATGGCTAATGCATCACATGCAAAAATGCAATCTAGGCAGGCTCGGCTAACCTAAACATGGCATGTGAAATGCAGTCAATTGATGCACTTATTCAATTTGGAATTGAAGTACAAATGCAGTTAGCATGATGTACCGAGCCTAATGTATGCAATACAAATGTATGAATGCACGCATGCATTGCATAAGGTATGCTAATTTAAACGTGCCCTAAAACTAACCATCATAAGCTGGTAAGTAAAAGGGAAGAAAGAAGTGGGGATTGGAAGACATACACACACTCACCCACACTTATTACAAATTTGCCCTCACTCAGAGGGACCAAATAAATATTACAAATTAATTAACTACGCAAGCTAATTAAATATTACAAATTGCCTAATTAATTAACAAATTAAATAAGCTAAGAAAAGCAGTAAACCGCCTCGGGAGGAGGGCCAGATGCAGCGCGTGCTCGGGTCTCGCTCGGAAGCGCACCGCCATGCATAGGCTGCCTCTGTTTTCCTTCCTTCACTCTTCTGGAGGTTGTCGAAACCTCAGGACTGCTTCCTTGGACATCGGGGAGTGCCACCGGCTGAATAGAACTGCCACCGGCAGTGTGTTACGGCCATCGGCACAGAATGAAGCTGTCGGCAGAGAAGGGATTGCCGGTCGGCACTTGACACTGCCGGTCGGCAAAGTGTTCCTGCAGAATCTGCAATTGACAGCAACAGAGGGCAAGGCAAAGCATGGCAGCACAATTCAAAGCATATATGCACCATTCATGTCCCTTATCATGTTTGTGACTCAAAGGGGCATGTGTCTCGATTCTCGGACCACCAATCACGCATTTCCATGCATGATGGCCCAAGTGATCAAGTATGCAACTTTCATGTCAAATGAAATGCAAACCAAACACACAAACCAAGGCCCAATTCCTATCATCAAGTCAAGGAACAAAGCATGCATGCAAGATGCAATGCAACCTAGGCATGCAAGCTAAGGATGCAACATGGCATGGCAAGGCACTTATGCAAGCATACAAGCAAACATGAGGCAATGCAAATGGATGAAAAGATGGACTTATGCACGATTTAGGCAACTCTAAATAGGCCCAAAACAGCGGCCAAAGT